AACCCAGGAATCCCTGGCTGTTCTGCTTGTTTGTTTTAAGGAGCCTCTAAAACCAGCATTTTCCAGGATTTTGAAGTGGATTCAAGTAATTTTCAACAGGAACTTTTTTAAAGTGCTACAGTGTGGGGACAGAAATCTTATTTCTGATCTGTACAGAAAAATCTCTAACACTGCTCTTCCTACCTACCACTTTTCCTTTCCAACAAGAAAGATGGAAAAAGAAGCAAGAAAAACAGGTAAAAAAAAATACTTTTTTTCAAACTAAAGAAAATTTTATGTCACTGAAAATATTTTAACAGAAATAAATACAAATTAGTCAACAATTGAGCAACTAATGTTATTTAAAATGAAACACAATTAGGATTTTATAGAAGATGCCAAATAATTGGTGAGGGCCTCAAATTTTAGGGGGCTTTCCTTTTCCCCCCCCTAATTCAGTGGCTACAGCAGATCCTCCCTGGGGGAGAACTGCTACCCCATGGCATTTGCAGCTGATTTGTGCAAGTGATGAGACAGATGTAAAACTGCTCCCCTCAAAAATTGCTGCAATTCAGTATGTTTTGGGCCAGTGAAATTGTCCTTGCACTGTGATACAGTCTCCTACCAACTGCCCTAAGCCCTGTGCTAGCTCTGATTTTCCTTTGAAAATAAGAGTTGAAATATAAAAAGACCACGTGAAAGAAAATATTCCTGGCATCCCCTCAACTGAAAAGAAATAATCTAAAAATGGTATCTAATTTGAAACTGTGTGGCTCTGAAGGGTGTTTTGAAAAAGTGAGGCACTTGTGGCTGCTCTGAAGAGCTAATGAAGGTTGCCACAATCCCAGCCCACTCACTGGCTGGTAGCCAGCAAAGTGCTGTGGCACGGCCAGAGAGCACCGCAGAGGCAGAGCCTGGGCAGGTGTTAGGAAACCCAAGGTGCTATAGTTAGTCCTGCTTAATCTGAATTTCTTTGCAAGTGGGATTTATTTTTTAAAAAAAAGAAAAAGAAAAAAAAAAAAGAAAAAAAAAAAGAGGCAAAATCTTGTGCTGTTTTAACGCTGTTATAAATTGCATTAATGGTAATGGTGTTTCTTCCAGCCAAACAGATGCAGAACAGATTAGACAGGACTGGCTATGGCCTTGTTGAGCCTCTGCTGCTTTCCTCTCTCCATTTAAAAGTATTTCTAAGTGCTGTTGATGAAAATTCTGCTTTCAGAGGGGTCTAATTTAACTGTTAAACCTATTAAAGCCAGAGAAAGCAAGCAGCAGAGACCAGTGCTTAAAGCAGTCCCTCGCTGACAAGTGTGCCAGGCACGTTGCACCAAGGCTGAATTTGGCACAGGTAAAAAATGTGGCCAGGAGATTCTGCTGTCAGCAAATTTGTTGATGTTTTCCTAGCTTGCAGGAGGGCAAACAAGGAAACAAATGGTGTCATGAATAAGGCAGGAGGGCACAGACAGGGGGGAGCAGGCGGTCTTGGCCTGCTGGACAATGTCCTTTCCCCAGTGTTATGGCCAAGCTGCAGTGTCTCTGCTCACCTTTTCCCTGACCCGGAGGAGCAGTTCTGACCTTGCATCATAAGAAACCAAAAAAGGCAAGGCCAGAAAAAGAGGCACAAGCACCTGCTGCATGTCTCTGTGCTGAGAAGTCAACATGGGGTAGCAGTGGCAGCTTCCCCCACGGCCACGTGCAGGTCCTGGGACACTCATCCCAGGGGGACCAAATGGTCTCCAGTGGCTCTGAGCTTGATCTTTACAGAGAAAGGCAGCAAGGATACTCATAGGAAATAGTTTGGATGATTTTGGTAATATTTACTGTCATGTAAAAATGTCCCTTAGGACTTAGCCAAAGACCAGCCCGTGACAGTTGCAACCTCTGGACATTAGTGACCAGGGCTCAGTTTAAAAAAAATAAAAAGCCTTAAGGAATCAACAACAAAATATTCAAGAGATTGAATGCCAAGTCTGGGAGCTAAGTAGTGTCCTCATTGTCCCTATCATAAGCTATAAAATGCCTTCTTTTAAAAAATAGGGTTTGGATAGTTAAAAACATGGATTGTAAACACTAAGTCTGTTAATTTGTATTTAAACATTACTTAACAATCCAATGTTACTATAGAATTGTTTAATTCTAAAAATGCCAAGCAACAGGAATACAGCTGCCTGTTTATCAGAGATTTAATAATAGAATAAATATTGACCAGATAAAAACCTAATGTGGAAATACTTTAAAATGCTACTTCTGGAATTGGTCCACCTATATATTAAAAAAAGGGGGCTATTTATGATTCATTCAATAGGATTATTCCCTTGCTTCCTGTTTTCAAACAAGGCAATCAAACTCCAATCAAAATAAGCATTATGGCCAAGATTGTTAACTAATTGCACTTGTGAGAGGTTTGCCAATTTCAGCCACCCAAAAATCCAGCAGTGCCATCAATGTCATTAGTTTTTCACTAGCTCTTCTGAAGTGAGACATTTTTCTTAAAGACTTAAATCCCAGAGCCATGTGATTAGAAGACATACTGACTTCTTTTTAAAAGCACATTTGCAGAGGAAAGGTTTCCAATACTATGCAGGTGACTTGAAATTGCTCAAAAATCATCAGAAAGAAATGCCAAAAGTGCACTCAGGTGACATTGCTATTCCTAGATTCTGATTAGCTTTAAGCCTCATGGCTGATGAGTCCTGACTCATTATTTTTGAATGGTAATTCCCATCTAATCTGTCTGTTCTATGTGAAAATACATGGTTACACCTGCCCATGTGGACAAGACATGCACAGAGGAAAAAATGTCATCTGTTGTGCCTGAGATACATTCCCATGCTACGAGGATTTAGCCTTCCTCAGCTACATATGCATAGCTAAAAGTTAATGGGAAGAACAGGGAGGAACCTAAGTGTACAGCCAGTTTCAAAAAGGACTTCTCATAGTTCTGTCAACTTCATCCTGAAGCTGCAGAGGACAAATGCAGGCCTGCAACAACTTCCTGTAGATGAAATGGTCCACAGAACCCAGGAGATGGACTTCTCCAACTTCTGTTGCCTTTCAGTGAGATTTGGAAGCATTTATGTGTATGTCCCTTCAAAAGGGATCCCCCCACTGCAGTGCTCTGCTGTGGACAAGTAAAACTAAGCTATTAAAAATACATAACCACTGGTTACTGGCATTTGAATGAAAATAAAGGTAGTTTGGAAAGAAGGATGGAATAAATTTTGGAATCAATGACATTCTGGACCCTGGGTAATGGTGTGGTTTTCTTAACTAATCTCTACTCAAATGGATTAGCACACTCTAGGAAATGTGTTTGCTGCCCTGTTAATCAAGACAGAGTAAACAATACAACCCCGACTAACCTTCACTGCTCTACATGAAAGCCCAAGTCAACACCGTGCTTATTTTTTCTGGAGATTATGGGAAATCTTGTTCTGTTTGTATTGCTCAGTGTTAGCTGCTCGAGTCTGCAGAACTTTGCTCACACACTAGGCGGCAGTGCCCACCACCACTGCCACCAACACCATCGTACCTGACTCTGCCACATCAGCAATGTTCACCCCTTGCTCTTGTGCCATGAAGCCCAGGACGGAAAAAATTGCGAAGCCAGACACAAAACTGGTACCACTGTTCAGGCATCCCAGCAGCAAACAGTCCCTAAGTCACACATATGTCATGGAGCAAGTTAATTAAAAAAAAATTAACCCATTGTCCCTACTTTATTTACATAATTTAGCTAAAACACTAAACCCCCTTGGATGGAAACTTGCCTATAGCAGTTGTATTTGTACTTGTTGTAGCTCCCCAGGGAAGTCATTGCTCCTAAGCAGATTGCATATGAGAAGAAGATTTGTGTCCCTGCATCTATCCAGACCTAAAGGGAAAGATGGAAAGGCTGTTATTACCAGCATCATTGCATTGCAACACCCAATGCAAACACACAGTTCAAACTATGCAAAATCAACAAAATTATTTGCTTCCATTGAGGGTGATAGCTGAAGAGTCAGGGAGGGAGGGAAAGAGAACATCACATTTGCTAGTTTGGCTTTTATAGGAAAAATAAAATTGTTAGCATCCAAGTCCACAAGAACATCATCTCTACAACAGTTGCTGTATCCCCTCCCCAGAGATGCTCAGTATTTCTAGTTGCTATGTCATTCAGCTGCTCCTTCCTGTTGGCACAACAATAAATGTGTTTCATCTCAATAGGAAATGAAAAAAGTATTTATAGCATTGTTCATTTCTCTTGTAACTCATTTCAGTTAGAACCCACCAACAATCACTAAACTGAGGATGTGAAAAACTTTAGAAACAGGTTTGTGCATTTCATTTGTTTTTTTTTTCTAGCCTTCTGGTTGTTTTTGTATCTGTTTAAATGCAAGACAAAAAGCCATAGGGGTGGGGAGAAAACAAGCAAAATACAATGCACTTTATAAGATATTTATCTGGTCTCATGATCCTATTTCCTGATTACATTAAAAAAAACAAACATATATAGAGTGAAATAACAGTACAAGATCAACTTCTCAGTTAGTAAATACGTAGCAAGTTATCAAAATGCATCCATTGCATCCCATCTGTTCCCTTCATTCTGCTAATGCAAGTCTGCTAACACCGATAGAAACCACCAAGGAGTCTGAGCAAGTGAGAAGAAAGCCTGTAGATCATAACTGCCTCCCTCCCACCACTGCTTTCCAGCACCCTGCTGCCTGGTGCATCCATGGAAATTATGCTTTTGCCAGACTGTGAAAGGGGGCCTGGCAGCTCACATGAATCTCTTCTATGTTATTGGCTGGTGCTCCAGCCTAGGGCTAATAGACCATAAAAGTTGTAAGAGTCCCATAGCAAAAGATTAATTCATCAAATATAATGTCTCCTGTGAAAAAAGTGTCTTGTATAAAGAAGGTGTGTTGTATAAAGAAGGCAAGACCACAGAATGAACCAAATTTCCACAATGTTTTTTTTCAATTATGCTTTTCCTACTTCAGTTATTTAGCTGTCATTGGGGTTTCATTTTAACCAAATACTCATTAGAAAGAAAGCAAAGACAGATGTTACTCCCTTACTGTGACCAACACTTTGGTATTTTCAAAAACCCCTTGTTTTTCTGAGGCTGTACCACTTTTCATGTGGCCACTACTGGCTGAAATGATGCTGGTCTGCCCAAAAGTCACATATTTGCACCCTGTGAGCCCAGACAGGAATCTTTACCTAATCACAGCCTATACAGACAGAGTAAGCCTAGCTCCACTAGCCAGGGCTAAGCAATGGTAGCTCCTGTGCCTCAGAAAGTGTTTTCACCACCTTTTACATGGGTTTCCATTCTTCTATTATTTAGTTCACTTTTTTTCCCAACCTCCTCCCATGGAGCAGTGGGAGCTGAGTGACACTGGTACTCACAGTTGTCGCTGCTTGTTCCATCTGTGAAGCTCACGTGTCTCTCCTTTGAAACTAAAGACTATCCTCATTAAAAAAATACATCTCCCTTACCTTACCCACAAGAAAGCTGAGATTGTATAACAGGACAGAGTCTACAGCCTCAGAGTCCTTTGACACAAAAAAAATACACACGCATATACACACATACATACACATGGAAAGATACACACGACAGTGACCTTCTCAAGCAGATCTCTGGAAAATATAACCCAGCATTAATGTTCATGCTATATTTGGACCTCTAAAGACCATGGAAGAAAAAAATAAACTATTGCCATTGTATCACCACCATCACCCTCCACCAACCCCTATTTGTGTAGGAAATGGTCCTGCTGTTGGTTCTGTACCTGTGGGTCAGCTAACCGTGACATATCAGGATAAAGATAAAACTTGATGCCTTCTGCAGCTCCAGGCAGGGTCACACCACGGATGAGCAGAACAAGGAGCATGATGAATGGGAATGTGGCAGTGATGTACACTACCTGGCAATAAAAAAAAAAAAAAGAAAAAAAAAAAAGGATGTTTAGTCTGTGGCACTTCTTCCAGATCTTCCAGAGATGAAGATAATTTGTTCCATGCTCCCGTGTCTCCATTCCCAGCACTCTGAACACATTAAAGCCCTTCAGGTTGGCATCAGCCTCAACAGTGGTAATTTCCAGGCCCATAATTTCATTCTTGCCCTTGCTGCCTATTCAGCATCATCATTATTGGAAACTAAGGCTCTATTCATCCAGTTTGAGAATATGTCTTCATTATCTTTAACCTCTATTCCCACTCTCTTTGAATAACAGCCTCCTTCTTCTCTTCTTGTTATCTTCTCATTCATTTGATGAAAGAGCCCTTTGCTTTAATCTCCAGCGTGAGGATTAATTGAGCTTGCATTTGGACAGTTCTATCTTTAGATCCACACTTTTTGACCTCTAACATTTTGTTTTCTTTGCTCATCAGTGCTTTCTCTCTCTCTTTTTTTAAATGTAATCCCTGTGTTACAATCAAGAATCACTACTGTCCAAGAAAGGGCATTTTTAATGGAGTCAGATGATCCCCCCAGGTAATTACAATTTGCTGCCATGAGTTAAAATATATTTTTGTTTTCCAGAATTTATTTAACTGCAGCAAAGCTCCCAGGATACACCATTCATCCTCTTCAGTGTGCCCTCTGAGAATAATGAGGAGAACTCAAAGCCTGCATTGCCCAAATTATTTCATAAAATGAAAGGAAATATTTTCATACATGTCCTTTTTAATTCTCTCCTTGCATTTTCTATATATTTTCCACTGGCAAATAATATATATTACACATTAGCCCAGTTTCACTAAAACCAGAAGGATAAAAGCAGGATTTCTGTGCTTTCTAATTATTTTTTTTTAATATAAACTGGGGCTATGAAAAATCAAATTTTTAATGGAAAAGCACATGCCTTGACATCTTTGCAGGAATTGAGTACATGACACTCAGAAAGTGGCCTTTGCTCTGCAGGTAAAGATTCTTTCAAAATGCTGGAGGAATTTTTAAGATCAAACACATTATCCAAAGCATAAGCACCACTATTATTTTTCCTTGTGATTTCATGTTTATTTGTCCAATACGCTACCACAAGATTTAAAAACTATAGGTTTTTTTGTTTTGTTTTGGTCTTTTTCCTTTTTCCATTCTCCAAAGAGCCATTAACACGCTGGAAAGCAGGGAAGTGCTATAAACAACCATCTACTAAAGTAAACTAGACTTCTCAAATAATTTAAGTCCTCCATTAGAGTTTACAATTTACTTTTGTTTGACCCCAAAGTTAATGGAGTCAACCGGAGACTTTCCAAAGGTTTTGTTGGGCTTTGGCTCCAGAGCCACACAAACTCAGACACTGAGCAGAGGAAGCAACAAATTCCTACAAACTGCCCTGGCTTAGAAATGAGACCATTTTGTTGGATTTCCAAAAAAATGCAAAATCTTCAGAAAACTGATTTGAAGGGACCTATTTGCAACCTGTTTCCTTCACAAGGGCTTGAAATAGTGCACCATAGGGGGCTTGGAAAAATCTCTCCATGCTACTGTAAACTTTCCTGAGCAGACAACAGGCTCACCAGAAGTACTGCAGGAATGTGCACTTCCAATTGTTCACTGTGTTCACCTTTACTATAAAATTTACACAATCACTCCACCAGGTTGCATCAATCAGAAGGAACAGAGTAGCAAACATGTTTGTTAATCTGTGTGTTAGAGGTGTGGAAGCTGCTCTTTGGGGCAAAGCTGGTGGGAATCCAGGGTAAGGCACCAGCATGATTTTAATGAGGCTCCATGATAAAAATCACAGAAAGCAAGACAGAAACGACAGTAAAGCAAGTAGTTTAGTCAACACTGGAACTAATGAGCTCTGGCTTCCTACAGAGTTTTGTCTCCTGGTTGATTCTGCAGCGTGTAACAAGGTAAAACTGCTAATTGATGCTTTTTCTGCAGTTGAGGCATTGGCAATTGCTCCTTCCTCCTGACTTCTCTGGAGGGATAATAAAGGATGGGTTCACACTGAGACCTTTCTCTCAGGTGGGACACTAACAGGGTCACTCCCTTCTACCTGGTTGACAAGAAATGTGTGGAAACTTAATATCTTGAGACCTCTTCACCTCTGTTAGATTTATCTGAAATACTGCCTCAACCAACAGGTATGAAAGCTAAGAGACACACACAGGCAATGGCTTCAAAAGCCTGTTCTCATTAAACAAGGTTTAAAACCAACACCGTGTGCAAGGGGCAACAACATCATCCTTCATGTTGTTAAGTGATTGGCCAAGATTTGCTGTAATCTGTTTCTTCCTCTGGAGTAGGATGAGGTTCAGGAATTATTTAACTGTTATCCTTTAGAGAAAAACAGGATTTTAAAGAGCACACGATGAGCCTAAAGCCACAAACTATCTAGGATCTCTATTAATGAGAGTGCTTCTAAATGAGTACCTAAGTTTAGTCTTCTGTGTCTACACAGAGCTTTTCTGTAAGCAAGAAACATTTAAAAAATGCTACACATCCAGCAGTTTCCACTGACTTAAACATCCCTACCACAGCTATGTTAACATCCCCCTGCTGCACTGAGAATGAACTTGGCTGGTGTGAGAGCACAGGCAGGCAAAGCAGAGCAGAGCACCACGCGTCACAGGCCTAAGACCTTCCACGCTCATGACATGCATCAATGGGCTGCCCATCCTCAGAGAGACAAAGTGGTGCTTGAACCATGCATGTATCTGCTGCTTGATGCCATTCTAGTAACAACTACTTGACTCACAAGCATTTTGAGCACTGGCAAGGACTTTCCAAAGTCAGTTGAATCTGAGTCCCTCTTTTATTCAGTGCAAAAATACATATTTTTGCAAGGAAATGGTGAACATCTTCAGGAACAGCATTACTTAGTGTTCCTAACATCTGTTAATGGCAATGATTGCAAAAAGGGTAAAAGAGCACTTACTTTCCCAGTGGATTTGACTCCTTTCCAAATGCAGAAGAAACATATCACCCAGACGAGGAGAAGACACAGTGCTAGATCCCACTTGATAATACCAATATCTTCAATTCCTGAGGACAAGCTCAGTACATTGCGCCTGAATATTTGAAAAGAAACAAAACGAGAGAGATGGAGGAGCTCAGTTGATGCAGAGTCTGGTTGTGATGTCTGAGAGTAAGTGATGAGCAAGGCAGCAGATATACAGGCACATCTCTGCCCTTTGAACACTGCTTCCTAAGCCAGCCTGGCTTACGTGAGCAGAGCTGAGCTTTGCAGCCCTATCTCTTCCCTAGGTTTGTGGGACTCTTTTATTCTATATATTGCACAGCGTTTATTTTAAATTCTTTTTGGCAGCCTGTGACCACCTCAGTATGAGATAAGAAAGCATGCTCAAAGCACTGTGGCTTCCACATTTGCTCCCTTGAAGATGTAAGACCAGCTCACCCTGGCATTGCCACTAACCCCGGCTTTGAACCCAAATGGCAGCATTGCAGACAACCTCTCCATCATGGATGCTTCCAGCTGGCCTGCATCCATGTGTTTCTCCTCCTTTTCAGTTCATTACCAAGACTGCCACGAGGAGGAAAGGGAAAAAGCAATGCAGGGAACTATCACAGCATGGGGCTTCACAGGACGAAGGCTGGAGCCACCCCCGATTCTCCCCCAAAGCCTCCACACACAGTCACTGCCCCAGCACCACCACCACCAGGGGCTGGTTTAGCCAACTCTGGAGAGCTGGGAAACTGTATTCTGTCACTTGGGTTAATAAATAAAAAGAAATTCCTAAGCTGGGTCTTAAGGGAGCAACATCCAACCATGAAAACACTCTGTTCCTGAGGGGGAAAATTCATTAAGGCTTCTCTCTTCTGGTAATTGCAATGGGTCATTGTTAAATATTGATTTAAAGCTATTTTCTTTTTTTTACTTGCATGCAAAACACACTGTTCTCACACACTGAACAGACCTTGTCATACCTGATGCTTACTTCACTTACCAAATATGTATGAAAGAATAAACTGCCTCTTACTGCTCACTTAACTAAAACTCCTCTGCAAACAAACCTACTAAATTCTGAAGACTTTTTGCAAGCTTTTTTTTAAGTCAAGGAGAATTTTGACCTCAATTACAATAGGAAATGCCCTGCCTTCAGATTAGAGAAATGACCTTGCTACCTAACAAATTGTTAATTACATTTGCTTTTCAGACAGCTATAGAAATCAGCCCCTTGCTTTCACCTAAGCTTTGGAGAGCCCAAACCACAGGCTGAGGTGCTGGACTGGGGTCAGGCCTACAAGTGTGTGGATCCAGTACAAGACAAATCACTGGGGCTCTGTTTTCCCCCTGAATGAATTAGGGTGTTGGTTTTTTTTGTGGTGGTTTTGGGTTTTTTTTTGCTATTCCCATGGAAATGATTTCTGATGGAAAATTTGCAATTAGTTTTTAGGAAAAAAAAAACCAAAACCAAACCTGGATTGACCAGTTTACTAGGGCTCAAACCCTCATCCATCTGTTTTTGTGTCTCTGTTTGCCAAATGCACTCGAATTACCTGTGTGATTGTGTTCTCACACCAAATGCTTTATTCTTGCTGAACATGTGTGCATTTTGTTATGGAAAAGGACTAATGGCACCAGACAGGGTAAGTCTGCCCTAATCAGCACAGCTATTCTACAGTTATGAGAAAACTCTCAGTAATGAATATTTGGCATAAAGTTGCAGTCCTAGTTCACCTGAGCCTAAAGGAACCAAGGAAAAAACCTGCTGTGAGAATACAAAAGAAGAAAATACATTTATAAGAGGATTCAACTTCAGCTGCAACCTTCTGTGGCTTTTTTAGAAATAAATGGCAACTTTCCAATCTAAGGGGCAGTTCATATTAAAAAGGCAACCTATAGAGCTGGCTCTCAGGAAGCCATGAATAATTAACTGCAAATGTGTTTTAGAATAGGGAGCTCTATTAATGCATCAAGCTAAGACTTCTTGGCATTTTATTAGGGAACTAAAAGCAAATGGTCATCTCACCTAGGGTTTGCCCCAGCAACTCTTTTGAGCTTTTTTTGCAGGGCACCCCAGTGGGTTCCTGAAAGCCAGATATATTGCTTTGCTACAGTGAGGCAGCAAGTGAAGTTGAGTGATGTGCTGTCTTTCTCTGTCCTGGGCTATCTGGTTTCACAAAGACTGACTACCTCAAGGAATCTGCTCAGAATGACCAGAGCCCTCAGCATTAAAATTGTTTTTTGAACTCTAACCCAACATATTTTTGCAGCAGAAGCACTCAACCTGCATTTGTGATACCCTGGAAATTTGAGTTCAGAAAGGAGCATGAGCCAGGCTATGCTGAAAACTCCTCAATTTTGTTACACAACCCACTGCTGCTAGATTCAGCCAAGCCCACTCAACTAACTTCACACCATCTATGCATGAAACTGTTGCTAACTCTAATTTATAGTCTCGATGCTGTCATTATCTGTCACTCATAGATAATCAATGGGACAACAGGCTGGGGTCAAGTTCGTTGTAAACATGAGTTCTTGAACTTTGTTCATACACCAGCATGTTCTATGGAAATGTAATAGGATCCCTAACTGGCTCTAGAACATAAACAAAAATAAAATGAGGAGAGTTATGCAATCCTTGAAGGATATTCCAGCTTGTTAATCAAGAGAATACAGACAGAACCTTTCATACCAGGGAAGATGAAGCACCCTTTCATGCTGGATGGACAAGAATAACTAACACTGAAGCAGCTGTACCAAAACACTATTAGAATGAGAACACACAACAATTTTTAAAACTCTCAAGTTTGCCCCCAAAGGTAGAGGCAGCTGCCCTAGATTTCATTTAGTTTTTGTTTTGCTCCCTTTGGGATTACATGCCATTAGCATGTGATGGTCTTTCTTGGGATTTGGACGAATAAAGTCTGCTGATTACCAAATATTTATAAACACTTGGCCAGCACCAGACAATCAGAGGTTTTGTTCAACCACAATTACCCCATAACACTTCTCCCTTATGTATTAATACATGTGTAAGCCTTTAAGGTTCTGGACTTTAAAATAAAATCTTCAGAAATAAGACCTGAAGCATGTGATACCAAGAGGTAAGTCTCCTGATACAAAGCCAGATTTGCTTAACCCCCTTTTATTGCTGCTCAAACAAGCATGTGATTTGCACAGAACATTCATTGAAATGAACTGAAATGTCAGGCTGTACTATATGTCCAGCCAGGCTGAGAAGGACACATGTTACTCAGTGTGAAGAGGTTAATGCATCGATGTGGTCAATTATATCTGGGCAGTGTCAGTTCTACAAAGCACTGCTGATGGGGACACTGCATAAATGTCACACAATAAAAAATGGGATTGGGTTTCAGAAACCAGATACTCACAAAACCCTAAATTAAATCAGAATTAATTGTGCCACAAGGCAGATGGATGTCTTCAGTTAAAGACTATTTATTGACCTGTCTTTCTATGCAAGTAGCTGGCTGCTTGGCAGCTGGAGTTGTCTGTGATGGCAAAGTACCTGGAAGTTCTTGAAATTATTTTGAATTTCAGAACTATAAAGGATAGTTACATGTCTGGGGAAAAACTAAATGCTTTCACCATGTAAAAGCTACACTACTTTAATTACAACCATGCTGCATGATCTCTGTCCTTACTTCAAGACACCAACAGTGCAGAGTGCAGAGAGATCAGCTATTTTTAATACTTCTGCAAGTGCCATGAGTCCCGAAGGCAGCTCACTCTGCTAAGGGTAGTTTCTCTCATGATGCAACACTGAGCTATGGCCTGTATGTCTGTATTAGTAGGATGACTGAGCCAACCCCTCCCTAGCAGGACTCCAGGGAAGAGTTCAGTTCACAATGTTTAAAACCGTTATTTGAGGACAAAAGTTAAAGTGGCTGCAAAGTGCCAGGAGAGCTCCCTGCATGAGCATCAACCACTGAGCAACCTTTGCTCCAGCTGTGCTACAGACACAGACAGGGGAAGAGAGATGGAAAAAGAAAGCACTGTGAGGATCAAGGATTTGTCCTTCAGCCTCAGGCAGCTCCAGCCTGACTACACCTGTTAGGCTGTGTCTGCAGGAGGATTTGGTTCAGCTTGTGGGGGAGTTTTGAGGCCAGAAACTTGAAAGATTCACCCTTAATGTGCTCCAATGGAGACATCATTCCCCCAGCCTATCGTCAGGCTGCTCTGCCATAAAGATCTGGTGTTCCCTGAGGTCCTGGAGCTTCCACTCTTTCACAGCCTATTTTCCAACCCTCAGCCCTATTTTCTTCTGCTATAGTATCTTCAGCCTCCTGAATTGTACACGGCACCTGGGGCCACAGGGAGACAACCTGGCCCATAAGTCTGTGCATTACACGTTTAAAAGCTTCTGGAACTGTAGGACAATCCCACAGCCACATCAAGAGGCTGCTAAGCTCCTGGCTTCCCCCAGGTACAAGAGAACCTCTAAGCAAAATTTCTGCACAAAATTGAAGATGTAAACACTGCTTTGGAAGTTCTGGCAGAGTGACTCTATTTCATGGACAGCACTGTGGCCCACCATTCTTAGGCAGACCTTGAGGAGACCTTTGATCATCCTACCAAGCCAGTCACTCCTTGGGATTTGAGCTCTTCAGTCCCAAAGTCATTGTGGGAGAGCCCAGCATGTGAGAATTACTTCCTCTTGTACTGCAACTTGCCTATAATTTCCCCTAAAATATCCAAAGGTACCACTTAACCTTTTCCAACTCCCTTTGTATTTATAAGGGATGAAGCCACCTGGGGAAGTATCTGTTGCTCAACATGGACATGCAGAGCTCATGGCATGGTGAAAACAACTGCCCTTGCAGCCTGCACCCCAGCTCTTGCACTGGTCATCTGTGCCTCTTCACAAACTGCTCATCCAATCTGCCCTTTGTATTTTGGCTCTTGTGTTACAAATTTTAGCACACTTCATAAGAGTATTTTTTG